CTAGATGATCTATACATTCCTTGTTTTTCATCTCTCTGCCATACTTGCTTCTCACATATTACAAATAGTATCTGCTGGAATGCCCTATCCTCTAAAGCTGGTGAACTCCTCTTGACTCTCAAAACCCAACATGCAGTAAAAAGCCTTCCTGCATGCCTCCATAGGGAATTAATACCCTCTTCTTCTTCTCTGCCTTTTCCTTCTCTTCCTCCTCATTCTTCTTCTCTTTACTGCCTCTACATTTTTAGACACTTCTACTCTTTTATGTATATCACACTATTAGAACTCTTTTTTTTAATAAAGAGTTATAAAAAAACCTCGTTTACCCACAGTATAATTATGGTAGTATGCAAAGAGCTTCAATAGATGTGTAGTGAGAGCACATGAAAGAGCACCTATCCTGCTTGGCGCCATGTTCTTAAGGTTTACTGTGAGGTAAATCAGTTTTTGTTTTTGTTGTTTTTGTGGTGCTGAAGATGGAACCCAGGACCTTATACATGCGAGGCAAGCATTCTCCCACTGAGTCATATACCATTGAGCCCACTGTGGGATAAATTAAAGCAGAGCAGAGGTCCTACAGTCCATACTTCCTGTTCTGAGAAGGAAACTGAGGCCATGGCCTGTATATCTGAGTCTGTTTCCTCATCTATAAGTTGGCTGGTGACCAAAGATATGTGAGTCATAAACTATAAATTATTTTATAAGCAATGAGGGTAAAATTTTATAGATACAATCACACTCTCTAGGAAATACTCTGGAGTTAGTAGGTATAGGTAAGAACTTTCTCAATGAGACCCCAGCAGCACAGCAACTAAGAGATAGCATAGATAAATGGGACCTCATAAAACTAAAAAGCTTCTGTTCATCAAAAGAAATGGTCTCTAAACTGAAGAGAACACCCACAGAGTGGGAGAAAATATTTGCCAATTATACATCAGACAAAGGACTGATAACCAGAATATACAGGGAACTTAAAAAACTAAATTCTCCCAAAACTAATGAACCAATAAAGAAATGGGCATGTGAACTAAACAGAACTTTCTCAAAAGAAGAAATTCAAATGGCCAGAAAACACATGAAAAAATGCTCACCATCTCTAGCAATAAAGGAAATGCAAATTAAAACCACACTAAGATTCCACCTCACCCCTGTTAGAATAGCCATCATCAGCAACACCACCAACAACAGGTGTTGGCGAGGATGCGGGGAAAAAAGGAACCCTTTTACACTGTTGGTGGGAATGTAGACTAGTACAACCACTCTGGAAAAAAATTTGGAGGCTACTTAAAAAGATGGACATCGATCTACCATTTGATCCAGCAATACCACTCTTGGGGATATACCCAAAAGACTGTTACTCCAGAGGCACCTGCACATCCATGTTTATTGCGGCACTATTCACAATAGCCAAGTTATGGAAACAGCCAAGATGTCCCAGCACTGACGAATGGATTAAGAAAATGTGGTATCTATACACAATGGAATTTTATGCAGCCATAACACCCACGCACAGGAAATCAATGTGAGTCAATGCCCTGTTTAGCTATCCTTATCTCAACCAGCAAAACCCCTTGTTCCTTCCTATTATTGCTTATACTCTCTCTACAACAAAATTAGAGATAAGGGCAAAATAGTTTCTGCTGGGTATTGAGGGGGGGAGCGGGAGGGGGTGGAGTGGGTGGTAAGGGAGGGGGTGGGGGCAGGGGGGAGAAATGAACCAAGCCTTGTATGCACATATGAATAATAAAAGAAAAATGAAAAAAAAAATATCAAGGCAAAAAAAAAAAATCACACTCTCATGACTCTCTACTTGTTGAAGAACAAACATTTTGATAGGGTCTTAATGAACTGCAAGGAAAAATAGCTCTCAAAGTTATTAAGTGTCCCTGAGAGTCAAACACAAAGGAACTTGGTTATTAGAAACACGATCATTTATTTGCCTTCTATTGATAGAGTCTTTATTAAACATACAGAGAGTAGGCAATTCAACTAAGTGTGATTCAGAAAACATTTATTGTCTGCTCTAAAGTGCATATGTTAGGCTAGATGCCATAAAAGACCTCAAAAGAGCTGGTTATTGGGAAGCCAAATAGTGTTTGAAATCAATAAAGTTCTCAAGATAAGGCTGACAGAAGATACCTTGCCTTTTGCTCTGCTCCAGGATGCCACATCCAGAGAACTCTCATGCTGGTGACTTGGAACAGACCCTACTGGACTTGGAGCCACAGGGGTCATTGAAAGATCAGCTCCACCACTCATTGATTTGGTGTCTTTAGCAAAATCATTTACTACTGAAGACTTGATTTCTACATCTGTAAGGTGGGCATACATTTTCTCACCCATATATTCTTTGTGATGTTTATGAAGACCAAAGAATGTCACATACTCACATACAAATTTATAAACTTCAAGGTTAACATTGTAATCACAATAAACATAGTATTTATGAGATAAGAAGGAAAGAGAGTAACAGGCTTAAATTCAAAGTGCTGTGTCTAATATCTGTCTATGGGTGGGGGAGAATGCTTTGCTTTCTTATTGTCTCGTGAAGCTAAAACATATATTCAAATGTGAACTTTAGAAGAATAAGTAAGAATAACATTTGAATACACATGGTTATATGTAACAATTTAGAAACAGAAAATAAGAACTTTCTGAAAATAAAATGAAAACTTTAATAAAATATAGCAAAATGGCTAACTGCTTGCCAAGTACTGAGTTATCACTCAATTTTTATTATTGTAACAAAACTTTAGAAAGCACATAATCTAGTAGAAATAAAGGACAGTATAGACCCTGTTCTCTGAGTATACATGCTCAGTTTAACTGAAATTATCTTATTCACATGGAAGTACAAGTGCCAGAAAACCAAGGAAAACTGCATTTTACTCATAAGTATTTTAATATTTTACTTAAAAGTCTATCCATAGGATATGCTCTTTGAAAGTAATAAGCACCAAGAGGACAAAGTAATATAAAGTTAAAAACTAGAAGCAGCTAAGATTATGTTTGGAAATAAGGAAAGAATTTTAGGCTGGTTTTTAAAGATTAATTTGTTAATTAGGTGAGCACCTGGGTTTTGGCTCATCACTTCTCTTGGAAACCTTGATTAATTTATGAGATTTTCATCCCCATTTACTGAAAAAGCAGTGAGTCATCTGGTGTTGCACACCAATGATGGCAAAAGTTAATTGGATTCTAGATCTTTTCACATTTCTCCCTTCAGTGATTCCTTGCTGCTTTGAGTGGAACCATGCTCTGAGGGAGTCTGTATTTTTGTGTGTGTGAGAGAGATACAGAAATGAGAAGAATTATAAGTAATTGAAAAGTGAGTTTGAAAAATTAAAAATATATATTTGTATTTCCTTTGATTTGGGGTGAAAATCTTTAGAAGGATGAACAAAAATACCCAGACCCAGGATTAGTGAACAGATTACCTTGGTGCATACTTTTTATAGGAATTTGATTTGGGAATTGTGAATGTTTACCATTCCAAGAAAGTGCTGTTTGAGATTGTCTGTGAATTAAAGTATTTAGGGCTGGATTTAGGAAGAGAAAGTCAGAAGCAACACTAGTTCATTGCAATTAATGTCTGTCCTCCAAGTAAGACACATCAGCAAAGAGCCCTAGGGAAAGAGGGGGCACAAGATTGAGAAAGGAGGGAAGAGGAAGAGGTGAGTCCCCTGAGGTGAATGGGTCATTGACACTGACTTGCTCTCTCCTGGCCCTGAAATTGCAACCTTTCTTTGGCTTTGACATTTATGAATTGTATTTGGCTTAGAAGGTCCTTTGCAGACATATACCTGTATGTGCCTTGTGATCTTGGTGGTGTAAGACAATACTCACAGATGAAGGGAAATTCATCACACTGGTTATTGACCTCATTTTTACTTTCACTTTGTCTCTCATTGTGCCTTCATCCTATTTTTCTTAATGACTTCATATTTTGGATATCTGGATTTATTTTTTGTATATTTTATCTTGTTATATTATGCTTGTATACGAGCTAGCACAAACCCTTTCTGGAACCAGGAGGATTATGAATATATAAATAATACATACATAACAAGTCTAGGAAAATGTCAACAGGTTATTTCTGAGATTACAAGTGATTTTAATTGCTTTAGGGCAAGTGTTCTGCATTTCCAAATATATGTATGTATTACGATGAGCATGAATTCTTTTTCTAATCAGATAAAGTGGTTTTTCTGTTACTAAACACAGAAGAAAATATTTGTGGTAGCACCAATTAATTTTTTTCAACAGAAATTATATAAGTGTGGTAGAGAGAGATGAGAAAGGAGTTGTGAGATTTAATCTTAGTTTTCTTTCACCATATATATCCATGAAAATATGGGAGGAACAGTGTAAATATAGTGGTTTGCTTAAACATTTTAGAAAAAAAATTCTATTTTTTAAAATTAATTTTCTTCTGTGTTAAATAACCAGCCCTGTGAGAAAAGACTTCTATTTAAAAAATTCTCTACAACCTATACTTTATTACACATTGGGAAATAAGGGGAAAAAATCTAATTTTTCAATATGACTTTTATATAGTTTTTTACTCTACAGAATGAAGAATCAAGACCACATAAAAGAAAAGACAGAATAATTTATTTGAATCCACTTTTGTTTGAACAAAAATAAAAGTAAGACTTTAGTAAGTCATTTCTCAAATATTTTGCAAGTCTTTTCCAAAACACTCCTGACAACCAAGCTGATTGACAATCAGGGAGAAGGCACAGTATTAACTTTTGTGACAATCATTGTTATTTTATGGCACAAATAACAAGAAATAAATTCAGGAATTAAAGAATTGAAGAAATTTACAAATGTAGTTTCCATATTTGTAGGCGAGATAGGATAGCATCAATGTTGGTGAAAGTGAAAATATAGATTAGAACAAATTGGGCTTTTTAGAGAAACTTGATATACAATGAGTGGCTGGGAAACTTCATTCTTTTTTTCCTCTCAGTAAACATGATAAGCCATGTGCCCTAAGGAACATTTTCCTACCACTTTCCTTTGTTGCACAACACATTGTGTGTATGCTTGAAAACCTACAGTCCAATGTACATAAATGCTTTTATTCTGCATTTATAGGAAGTAATGAGGCGCTGGGCTTGGTTTCTTCATTGATCCCAGATGTTTTTCCTTAAAATATTTCTTCATTATTTCACTCCAATGTACTGCTCTGCCCACGAAAGTTCACCTGGTGAAGAGATACATAAGATACATAAACTATTCTATAGATTTTCAGGTCTATAGGTAAAAGAACTGTAAATTCTTTTATTCCTTTCCATAGCTGCAAATAATATGTTTCCAACTGATTCAAAAAATATATTTTTCAATAATATGAAGAGTAAGCAATCATTAAATTCTGTAGATAATTACATTTTGAAACTCAAAGTTTACTTACTTGAATATCCTTTTTCCAAGGTTGTAACAATCAGACTTGGTTCAAAACAAACTGTACCAAGTGCATTTAATGGTGTCAACAGTATTTCAATAAATACATTTATTTTAGATCAATAAAGAAATAATTGGGCTGAATACCTGAATTTGAACACAGACCAATTTACTGATTTGTTACATACCAGTCCAATTAGCTAATAGCCACAATGTACTTAAGAATACAGTCTCAGAATCAAAGAATAAAATTGCTTAACTGTCTTTTACCTCAGAGGTGACTGTTAAGTAAGGTTAGAAGAAAGCTGTAATCTTTTCCCACAGTTCTCTCAACCACTTCAGGACTAGGGGATGGGAGGGATTAACTAACCATCTGTAATACTGCATTATTTATGAAAGTGATCTTCTAATTTAATTGGACCTAGTGAATAAAATCATAGACAATCAGGAGAGAAAAATGGTCTCTGCATCTATTCTATGGAGGAATATTATTTTATGAAGGATCATTAGTTAAAATAAACTAACAGGAGCCTACAAAACTATGGAATCCTTAAAAAACTGAGTCTTATTTAATCTCTCTTCCTGCCACATAGTAAATATCCTGGAAATGTCTGTGGATTGATTATAAATAAATAAGTGCAAAACAGTTTATGATGGAAAGAAGAAAATATTCTACTTGTTTTTAAAGTTTAGAATAGCTAATGTAAATGTCTTGAAAGAAAATAAGACTTTTAAAATAAGACTTTTAATTAGATGGGGAGCCATCCAGTTGGCTCCCCAATTGGATGAGTTGGAAGTCTGATGGAGGAGGAAAATAATTTTAAAGGAACTTTAGAGAAAAGGGAGACAGTCTTAAAGCCTTACAGACAAAGAGTAGCAGAGAGAAACACAGATTCAGGAAAGGAAGGAGTCAAAGAATGAAAGTAGGTTAGAAAAAGCCAACAGAGACACACACAGAGAAACAAAACAAAACAAAACAAAACAAACAAGACTTAGAAGACAAGGGAGGAAGGTAAGAAGAGAGTCTTGGAAGAGAGAGCAAAGGTCACTTAGGTTGGGGTCAGCATGAGGTGATATTCTAGGGTTACTGCAATTAAGGAGAATGAGCTTTATAGCATTAAAAAATTAGTTCTCTATTTACTTGAAAAAAGAGCATTTCTGATGTTTTTTCAACCTTCAAAATTTATTTCTGAAATACACATTCATATTCTTGAGGCATTCTAGAGATTTGTGTCTGACAGGCATCTAGTTTTAGAGGGCAATTTTTTAAAAAAGTGAATCAGTTTTTTTCACATGGAAAAACAACCCAATCACTTTGTATTCTGAACTCGGAGCAACCATATTCACACTTCTAACTCAGTATTCATTTTATTCTTAGGAACCTCAAGTTTTCATTTGGTTTGTTTGGATTCTGGTGGGAAAAGCAGATGTTTAGAGCAAAGGATACATACAGAAACAAATAAATTAAATTTTTTTTAAGTGGATTCAATCATAGAATGTAGACTTACTCTCAGAAATTCTGGTGATAGATATGCTAGTTATCTTTTGATTATTATACAACATATTAATTACACCCCATAAATGTTACATTGTACCCCATAAATATGTACAATTGTACATCAATCAAAAAATCAAAATAAAGAAAAAAAAGGAAGAAAGGAGAAAAAGAAAAACATCCTCTCTGTATTCCAGAAAGTAAAGAGGGTGAGGTATCATTTTAGAGAGTTTTTGCTTTTAAACTATCATGCAATAATATTTCATTCTTTAAGTTAATCACATATTGCTTTAAACCAAGTTTCTTTTCTTTTCAAACCAGAGGTTTCTAGTTCTATCAGAGACTGTTCCTAATTTACCCAACTCTAGGTAAATTTTCTCTGGTGGGGTCTTCAGAAGTGTCTTGTCACTTAGAACTAAAATGACTGCTTACTCCATCAGGCATGGGTTTCTTCCTCCTCCTATGATTTTCTACACAATCATCCACTCCTAGCTGTTACTTTTGGTATTTACCCAGAGGTGTGCATGAATTACTTTGCTGGAACTGTTTCTTTTGCCAGAGGGGAAGTTCCAGTGTGTGGTTATTGATGTTCTTTTCAAAGTCAATACATGACAAATAAAGAAGATGATTTGTGGCAGTTATGCCTGCAGGCAGCTACACTCTACAATTATCACCCCCCTAAAAAAAAAAAAGAAAACCAGAAGTTTATTTCATTATTTCAAAAGACTGCGGGCTTAGCTTCTCCACGGCAAAGAAAGAACAGACTTCTTAAGGACAGCCTTGAACTTAACTGGAGAAAGATTTTCTGGATTTGGCCTTGACACACATTTTTATCCTCTTTGAGAGACCAGTTCTTATTGTGGTTCAGTTTGCTTGGAAATAGATAGCTTTGAATTGTAAGATGTTGGGCCTTTGATTCTGATTGAGCTCTGGACCTTGTGTATTCCTCTTTTTCTGGTCTTATTTTTGGTGAGATCATCATTATTTTAAAGTTACCACGGCCACTAGAAAATCATGAAAATAACCAAGATGACTTGAGAACTGGCCTGAATGTGGCTTTTCTATCCACATGTGAATTTCTTGAGGGAAATACTGTGTGTGAGAGAAATGTATTCAGTAGACAGTTGATTCTAGACTCTGTGTCTTGTCTACTGGTCCAAAAGCATGGCCCCTGTGTTTGCCTATTTTATTTCTCAAAATTATTTTCAGATGAGGAAGTGTCCTGTATATTTTCAATTATTCAGAAGCTATAATTTCTTGTTTTAATATCTTTCTTTTGAGGCTTTTAATAAATTCTGAGGAAAACAGAGGATAAGGGCTGAGCTTCTCCTTAGTACCAGGAAGAGTAGGTTCATACTTACTCTGGATGGTCTTGCTCTTGGGCAGGGATGTGCTGAATAACTTCGTAAATTGTACTATGCAAATCTTGCCCTGATACACCATCAGAGGTTGGAATAGACCTACTTGGTATCTAGAAAATGTGACACATCCAAAAATATTAGCTCAAGATTAGTTAATAGTATTTTCATTACGCTGCATATCTGGAAACAATTGACAGTGTTGACCACTACAGAATTAGTACTGTTTATCTCCCTGAAATGCTGATTTCCTCCTTGCTACAATGCTGCTGGTAGGTTTGTGCAGTAACATACCTATAAGGGTGGAAGAGGAATAGCTTGGCAAAACTGTCACTTTTTCTCATCATTTAAGAAGCAAGCTGGCAATACTGTACAAGAAATGTAATTGGAAGAAATAGAGCAAAAGAGGAGATATCAAAACAGCTTAGAACCAGAGAGCATATATAATTTTAATTCTACATCTTAATAACCTTTTGACATGTGTTTCCAGTTATATGAGCAGGAGTGTCTTAAAAGAAAGAATAAAGTACAGCCCAAAGTGCTAACCACATTGCGCGTGAGTAAAGGCATTACCAAGAAATAGAGCAAACAGAGATGTTTTGCTTTGAATGTTTAATAAGCTCTAAAAACTAAAGGCTTCTATGAATGTAGAAAGAATAGCAGTATTTGATAAAAACTATCATCTATTTTATTGAAAATGACATTTATAGTTCACAATTGCCTTCTTCTTCTGATTATTTAGTCAAAGCCTGGTTTTCCTCCCCATCCATTCCATATTTCTATCATACTTCTGTCTACTTTTAGTCCTTAATATTTACACAACTCCACCTAGAGAACTTTTTGCCCTAGGTAAGTCTTTGGTGTTCTCTACCTCATCCCAATTTGACCTGCTAGGTTATACTGGAATGTCTTAGCTTTCTGTTTGTCTGGAAAGGGCCTATTTCCATTGCACTTAGTAAAGCTGAAGTGCTCCAGGTAAGCACTAGGATTTGTGACTTGTCTAATCATTTCATACTGAGACTTTGATGTACAGTTTGTACTTGAGACGGACTCTTCATTTTTTACTTTTGGCAGGGAGATGGTCAGGGACTTTGGTAAAAGCAATCTGCAGGGACCACTAACTTACCTAACCTAATGTTAGGACTGTTTAATAACAAATTTGTTCATTTCATACAGCTGCCTTCTTTCTATCCAACAGTGAAGTGTACAATAGACAGAGGTGCTCCATTTGTACATGTGCTACAATGAGTAAAGAGATAATTTTGATTTTGAAAAACTAAATAAATTAGCAATTTCTTTTTGTTTCCTTTCTTAGTGTCAAATTTGAGGTCTTGGTTTTATTAGTACTTCCCATTTTTTCATAGGACCATTGCATTTGGCTGCTAATCTTCCCACATAAATGCCATTCTGGCTTCTTCTCACTCAGGTCCTGCTCTTCAGTTTCTCACCTCTTTCCCAAAGCACCTGGCATGGCTAATTAAGAATCTCAACAACTTCTTCAGGAGTTTTCAGCTTTGAAAACTGGCATGGCTCCAAGTCAAGTTATTCTGTTTATGACAGAAGTGGGGCTTCTGTAATGTAATGATTAAGACCCATTTCTCTGCTCTAAGTTCTTGAGGATTGTAGCATTTTGAGCCAACAGAGGCCCTCTCAGTTAGTTCTCTACAAATACCTTGTGACTTATCACAAGGTTAAATTTATAGTTTCTTATATAAATCTCACTTCTTTCTAAATGAATTCATAGGAATAAAATGTGTGCATTATTTTAAATAACGAAACTCTGCTTCAAAACTTCAATTTTAAGTCCTCTGAGCTCTTCAGTTTCCTGCTATACCATCTGAAGACATACCTCAGGAGTGCTTTCTGCCACCATGAGAAGTTGTTTTAAATAACTGATCCATCAAATATTTATTTTGTCTTTTTTGGTTGTAGAAGTGAACCAGTCCTGCCTGAGATTGAACAGAGCATTGCAAGGCCTTTTCAGGGCACTTCTTTTCTTTGCCTGTGACAATGTGGGTGCCGGTGCTTCTGACACATCCTCAGGGAGGATGAAATCCAATCAATTCCTTTCCATTACTCACACAGCATTTCTGAAATTAAGTCTGTGGCCAAGAAACTTACTGGGTGAACCTTACACATTGTTAGAATGCTCTAAACAAATGAAGTAACCATGTCCTAACAGCACATAGTCTTTTTAAAAAATAGAAATGACAATGCCCGGAAGCACGTAATCCATTTATAGCCTCTTCTACAGGTAGACTATTATAAGGAATTAAGGAAGCAGAGGAAAACTGGTCCTACATAAAACTGCAAGAGTGTCCATGAACTGATTAGCTCAAAGACATATTTGTGTATCTGTTAAATAAAACTCTCTTAAAATATATTTTGCACACTGAAAAAATAACTTACAAAGAGGGTAGGGGTGCTTTGCCCACTTTATTAATGCACCTTCAAGATGATAATAAAGATGTGCATGTGCGTACTTTAGGTGTAGGCTATATGATAATTTCCTTATGAAGAGCAGGGAAGGTGGCTTCAAAGACATCAATTGTTTCTGAAGTGCACTCAAGAGTTATGAAGAGGAAAGAAAGCCCAGTCATGTGAAGGGCTGTGTTCACTGAGGTAATGCAGAATACTTAAACAGAGATTCCTGATCGTCATTTATTCAGTTCTCCTGACATTCCACTTAATTAAATCCCTCTTCACCAAGCTTAGCAGGTAAAGAATGTTTATTAATTAGCATAACTTCCTTGTTTGTGTTAGCTTTACTTATAAAGTCCAAGAAAAATGCCTCAACTTCCCAGAACCGGCAACATTACTCATTACAGAGTGAGTCAACACTGTGTAACACCGCTAACACTGTAGGAGGTAATGCAGCCATTGGACTGCACTGCCAAAGTGCTGAAATGAATGCTGCTTACACCTCTGGTAAAGCAGAATTCTACGTCTTGGTTAATCAGCCACTAGGAAAACCAACCCTGGGAGCACCAGAAGCATCTGGAAAAGCAACAAATTCATATATTCCGAAGTCATCCAGAGCATCTTCATGGCCTGAAATGGAAAACAAAACTACTTACAAACCCAATGCTGTCATTTGCTATTGTTTTTTAAATCTTTGTAACACTTGTTTTTATTGTCTGCTTTAAATGGCCTGTGTACAAAACCAATTAAACATTTCCTAAACCCCCATGTTCACATTGCCATTGAGCGGTGCTGGAAATCAATCCTTCTTAAGCTGGAAATTGAAACTGAATTGAATCAGTTATTCCTAAACAATGTATTACATGGTTAAATACACAGATGTGGTCAGTCTTGTCCTTCATAATCCTCATATTATGAATCCTGGAGGTCCCAGCAGCTTTCAACCCACCCATAATATCTAACTACACCTTGTTAGATCTAACAGAGACCACCAGAACAGAAAAGAATAAGTAAATAACTACAACTGATCATATACACAAAATACAGTACAATGCAATATTACGATCACCTAAATTTCATCTGGAAAATGATGGGAATAGCCGGTGGCTGGGAGGAGCCAGATGGTCTTGAAGCCTTCCCCTGTGTGACATTCAATTGTTTGTAAGTGAGCAAGGGCTAGATAAGAAGGCCCATCTTTATTAAGCACCCAGGTAGCCTATTAGGCTCTCCAGCTGCATCATTTTATTTAATTCCCATAGCAACCCTAGGAGGAAGTTTTTATCTCTGTTATATAGATGAGGAAGCTGAAGTCAAGAAAAATAATTTTCACATGGGGAATGTGGCATATACAGGACTGAAACCTGGCTCCCTGTGACACTGAGGCCTGAGCAAAAGCTCCATTGTTAATTTGTAACAACTTAGCATAGAGTCAACAGTGAAGGCAGTGAGGGTCAACTGGGGACAAAGAAGGAGCACTGGCCCCTGTCAATTCTGTTTTTCCTCTTTTCCCTGGTATGGAGCTGCCAACGGTATATGTCCCCTAGGAATTAACAAAGTGAGAGAGTCCTTTAGTATTTTTCAGACCAATGATAATAGGATTAATGAATGAGACTTAAGCAGAACTCAGTGACTCTGGGTAAGTGACTTAATCTCTCTGATCCTTAGTCATCTGGCCTGTAAAATGGAGTCGAGAGTACCTACCATTTAATCTTACAGACTTGCATGGCTTATATAAAACTAGTACAGGGAGAGCACTTTGTAAGGTGAGCACACTGATTAAAGGTAAGGAATTGTTAGTGTTGATATTAGCTTATATTAGGTCTATTACATTGATAGCTATATCAATTAATATTATCAATTAACATTAACAATATTAATTAATATAGATTACTATCAATAGTAGCTCTTTTCAGCCTGGCCATTACCTGAAAATGTTTGAGCTTTCCTGTATTCTGTTTCTGGCCTGAAAAGACAAATAGGTATTTCTATTAGGATAATAATTGAGGAAAAAAGTATTCACAAAAAAAAATTTTCATAGAAACATAATGTATTACCTGCCTTCTAGCTTCTGTTTTATAACTAAAACCAAGACAGAAAAAAAATCTAGTAAGGTATTTTTTAGTATATATCTAAAACTTAATTTTTTTCCCTAATTGTAACTTACCTTTATAGGGTTGGTATTTTTTCCATAGAAATAGAAAACCCATGGACATAATCAAAAACAGTGATATTCCAGTTATACTTGCTAATGGGGATAGTGATTTCCCTTTTTGTGCAAGCTTCTCCAGTCCTAAAGTAAAAAAAAGACAAATATATCTTTAGTAATGAATTACTACGTAATTTGACATGTTTGTGACTAGTTTTTATTGTAAATAAGATGCTATTGCAAGTTTCTGTCTCCATCAGATGGAAGGAATGCACTTATGTTAGAACACACGTGAAACTCCCTAGGGATATTTGTGATTGGAAATGTGGCGAGCTTCCTGGGATAATACTGGCACTTTGTACTCGATGTAGCAAATAACTCATGTCATACTTCTCAATTGTGTGTGCCACTGTAACTTAGGTCTGTTTTGGTTCATTGTCTCTACCATCCTCAGATGCCAGATAATCTTTATCTCCTTCAGTCTCACTATTTTAACACAATTCAAGAATGTGGACTTTCAAGGGAGGCAGTGGTTAAAGGTTTGAGAGGGAAGGTGTTCATTTCAAATACACTTTACTAATTTTTAACCAATCAAGAAATGTCAACCCCTAAAATAAGACGCATGTGTAGTTTTCAATAAAATATTTAAAGTCTCACCTTCTTACTAAAATTTGCTTTGTAAGTCATTCCCTTAATTAATACTATACAAATATGATGCTAATAGCTACATATGCTGAGTGCTTACAATGTGTCAAGCTCTATTCTAAGGGTGCATGATGTATATGAACTCACTGAATCTGCACCACAATCGTATCAGGGAAGTATTGTTAAGTTATCCCTTATGGGTGAGGATGCTGAAGCTTGTGTGGGATCACTCAGATTGTAAGTGGCAGATGTGATCCCAGGTCTTAACAATTTTTACTGCCCCTGTTTAAAGTTATTTTTAATGCAGCTTATTAACCATGGCCAGCTTAATACTAGCTCCAGATTATGATATGTTTAGTCATATAGTTAACTTGTACAGCAGGAACTACTTGCAACATCCAACAAACACGTGTAACAGATGTCTTCCATATTTTTATATGACTCAGATATTGATGTGGAAATGAATCATGGCGGTTGCCTGTCTGCCCAGACTGATGTGGAAGTGGAAGTGGAAGTCATGTGATGCCACTTCTGTTCCACAGTGGTGAGTGAATAGCCTGGAGAATCTGGGTGTGGTGAAGAACATGGTGGTGGCCACTAAGCTGTGCAATAAATACTGAGCCTGGATCCCGTTGCCTTTCACTATAAAGCCTTTGTTGAGGGGTCCAGCAGCAAAGATAAGCAGGAACCCTTAACCTTTTCCTTCTCTCAGTATGGACCTATCTGAACTCTCCCAGCTTTTCCATCTAGAATACTTTCATTTAAAAAATGTTCCTTTTCATAATGTAGTATAAATCACATATGCCAAACTCTGGTAAACAAGTCATGGAGATCATGTTATCTCTTCTAATTTCCTCATTTAATGCTGTTCTCTAATTCCTGTTAAGTCCTCAAGAGATAAATGAGGTTGTTTTTCATTATCAAAAATCTTCATCTCTCATAGGAAGTTTCTAAATTTCTAATATACTTTCAGATAATTTCATTCTTACAATGTATTTTTATGGGAAAACAGTTGCCTTTAAGCAAATTTTAGCTCAAACCCTTTAAAACTTTGAGTAAATAAATGCAAGGAAGTTTAAAATGAATGAGAATGGCAGTTTACTGGTTCTAGATCTAGAAAGGAATGTCCTAAAATTGAGTAGAAAGACAGTCTCATTTTCTCTTTACTAATAAATTGTAGAATAAGCCATATTATCCTCGTTTTAGAAGGTTGGTCTTTTAATTTGGAGCTACTTAAGCACCTGGGTGATCTCCATCAGGCCTTAGGCATCACTTTATTTTTGTTTGTTTGTTTTTTTGATATTACACTCTGTCCTGTGAATTTTATTTGGCAGCACTGGGGTTTGAAGTCAGGGCCTCATGCTTGCTAGGCAGGTGCTCTTATCACCTGAGGCGCTCCACCAGCCCCTGATATTACATGCCCGCTTTTAGGCTTGTTTTCTCTAAAGAGCTGTATAAATTTTAAGTGAGCCACTGACTTGCAAGGCTTTGATTTTTCACATTAGTGAAATGAGAGGGGGTGCTGGGAAGATCTGCCTTTAAGTTGTCTTCATCCCCTGATATGCTATGATTTGGGGCAGCCAGAGAAGATCAGATGAAGTTTATTATCACTAGTAACCAAGGGAGTACTGGTAACTCAAGGTTAAAGAAAATTGTTAACATATGTATATGTACATGAGCTATAAACTTTACTCTTATAAAGAATGTGTAACACATAATTTAAAAATAGCAACAGAACAGGCAGTACTTTTTATTGTTAATTCCAGATAGCTGATTGATTCTCATGAAATGGTTTTGATTTTTGCTGAATTCTTATATCTATAGTCAATGTAGGTGTGGAGTTCAGCCATGTTTTGACAAAATTAGTCTGCAAATAAATGCTTGATTACTATCCAATTCAGCAAGAAAATTGCTTACATATTTTTTTATTCATTTATTCACATGTGCATACATTGTTTGGGTCATTTCTCCCCCTGTCCCTGCCCCATTCCCCCTCACTTCCAGGCAGAACCTATTCTGCCCTTATCTCTAATTTTGTTGAAGAGAAGACATAAGCATAATAAGAAAGACAAAGCGTTTTTGCTAGTTGAGTTAAGGCATTATTGATGAACAAGTTTGGTACTGATATGAATATGGGTTCATATTTAATAGGAAGAAAGTGACACAATATCAATGCACATTGCAACTTAATTAATCAGTGACTTGGATTACTTTGCTGAATTCTATATTAAAAGAATTTTCTTCCATTTTGTGTGTGTGTGTCTGTGTGTGTGTGTGTGTGTGTGTATGTGTGTGTGCTATACATGATTTAATGGCTACAGACAATACATTGTCAGTTTAATCTGCACTATTATATTCTCTGTCATTTTAAGTGTGAACAAATTACAGAAAACATCCTCTAAATTTTGAAAAGTATTATGCTCATTATTATTATGTTCAAAATGTTACTTAATTTTTACTTAGATTTTGTATTTGACCTATGGCAATATTAAACATGTATGATTTAATTTCCTTAATTTGAGTGTGTTCTAGTTTCTTTCTGTTATTGATTTTTAGTTTAATCACTTCTTGTTAGAGTGAAAACCTTTCAGATTTGCTGATTTTTTTAAAAATGGCTGTGTAAGTAGGTATAAAAGAGGGTATGCACTGCAGTTTTTTTGTGATATTTTATATTGCTCCAGTTAAAACTGATTTTCTATATTCCTATAGGTTTTTGTCTATTCTAGATATTGAAAGCAATATATCAAAATCTCCTACTTTTTGGATTTTTCTGTTTTATTCTGTCATTTTTCTTTTTATTAGATATAATTTGAAGCTATGCTATTAGTTTCATGTTTTCCTGTAGGAAAACCACTTTACTTTTATAAAATGTCCGCTTTATATCTGAAGTGAGGCTTTCTGTCTTAAATAAAGTATCTAATTCTTATGTGTCGTCTGATATTGGCATAGCCACTTTACCTTTCTTTGGGCTGCTTTTTATGGTTTCTTTGTTCATCCTTTTGTGTTCAGCTTTTCAGTATCTTTTTCTCTCTCTCTCCCTCTCTCTCTCGCTCTCTCTCTCTCATTCTCTCTGTAGTATGTAGAACATCAAACAGTATTTTAAAACCCAGTTTGAAGATACTTGTCTTTTAGTTGGAATATTTAGTTCACTAATACTTAATGTAATCACCAATATATTTTGGCTTAGATCTACAACCTTGTATGTTTCTATTTTCTAAGTTTGTGTTTCATTTGATCTCCTTGTTTAACTTGAATGAGTTAGGGTTTTGTTTTATTTTTGATTGTTAGTTATACATTTTTATTTGCCTCTCAAACTTTGGTGACAAAAAAATATCTTAATCAAAATTAGTACTCCCACTCTTTTTTTGCTTCTTCCTGGTCCCACAATGCAAGAATAAGTTCTATGTTAAAGGTGTAATATCTAAAACTTCAAGATTTAAATGTTAATTTACCAATGTCTGACTATAATTCTATGTTATTTCTACCACTTTGCCTGACCATTATACAGAAATAGAGATCCTTTCCCCAGATTAAGTCCAAATCATCTCAGTTCTTCCAGTTGGAACTTTAATAAATAAATCAAATTCATTATCTATAGTATTCCATCTCAAGTTTGATGAAACTCTCACATTCCTTGAGAATTCTCTTCTTCAGATTCAACATACCAAGATCTTTTTTTGTTCTTTTGTTTATTTGTTTGTGGTGCTGGAGATCAAATCCAGAGCCTTGCACATGCTAGGCAAGTGATCTATAACTACCTTACATTCTAAGACCTTAGTTTTTTGAGACAGGGTCTTGTTGTATAGCTAAGACTAACTTCAGACTCATGAGCCTACTATCTCAGACCTCTGGGTGCTGGGATTACACATGCATGCTACCATGCCTGGCTCATTTTATTGTTCTTTATGGGACCTTCCAGATTATCTATCAGCATAGAGGTCTAACTTTGGAAGCTTAACAAAAGCTAGCCTATTTTACTCCTGAACAATAAATTTAAAAGGATCCATTCTCCACTGTGGTTTTAAATAAGATAAAGACAAATAGAATATTCTTTGAGACACTGGAAGTGATGAAAAAGCAAATAAAGAAGACAAATTGATAAAAATACCAAAAATATTGGTAAGACTTAAGATAAATGATTTGGGGATATTTTAGCAAACAAATTCTCTGTTTCTTCATTTTAGATCCAATATTAAAATTAAAATTAGTTAAGGAAATTTTCAGATAATGCACAGTTAACCATGTGTACATAACACTAAGTATATATTTGTTTTCCATTTACTTGGTATAGTTCTATCATATCAATAATAATGAAAAAATTATAGCACCACTTATAGGTACAGATAAAAAATAGTCTCAGAGAAACTAAAGTATTTGTCAAAGTAAATTCTGGAACAGAGACTGGAACAGAGCTTTTTTTCTGATTGTGAGTTCATTTTTTTCCTGTTAATCTGTGTACACAAGAGGTTTTTGTAATTGGCAAGTAGGCTCCTATAAGT